GTCAGTTATATCCCACTTAAAAGAGTATTTCATTAGGATCATTTCAGCAGCATAGACTTCTTAATTAAAAAAATATAAGTATTTCAATTTCTTTTTTTTTTTTTTTTTTTTGGCTGGGAATTGCTTAATTATAGCTCAAAGGGCCATGCCAATTTATAGCCACCATCATAATCTTTGAGAGTCCTTCTACCACAAGTTAATCCTCACAAATGTCCCTTCCATACACTGTGGCTGAAAGTATAACCTGGCACTATTGTTCTTTTTTTCCAGTCTCTGTGATTAATTTATTTGTCTTAAAACGTGAAGAAGGTCGAGTCATTTAAAATAAATCTTTTACTCTTGTTCTGTTACAGTTGTCCCCGTTTTCCCCCTGTTGTTCTCCACTGCCCCCCCGACCCCCCCCCGACCCCGCGCTCCCACAGACAACCCCTATGCTGTCGTCATGTCCGTGGGTCATTTATACATGTTCCTTGACTAGTCCCTTCCCCTTCTGGTGCCATTGTTTTAAAAGGCAATTTGTGGTGTTTTGAAAAGTTAAAATCTATATTACCCTTTGACCTTGGAATGCCACGTCAAGGAATTGCTTCTTTGAAATACTGGCACACCTACCCAAAGAAAAATTAACAAGGATGTTCACTTTAATATTCTCTATGGTAGCAAATAAACAGAAATCACATAATTATTCATTAAAGGAAAAATAAATTATGATACATCAAAATAATATATGGTGGACCCTTAAACAAGGCAGAAGTTAAGTGCACCAAATCCCACCACCACACAGTCAAAATGTGCATATAACTGTGGAATCCCCGAAACTTAACTACTAACAGCCTTCTCTTGATTTAGGAACCTTATCGATAACATAAACAGTTGATTACCATATTTTTATATATATATGTTATATGTATTATCAACAGTATTTTTACAATAAAGTAAGCTAGAGAAAAGAAAATGTTATTAAGAAAATCATGAGGAAAAGAAAATACATTTAGAGTATTTACTGAAAAAACATCTGTGTATAAATGGTCCTGCACAATTCAAATCCATGTTGTTCAGGGGTCAACAATATATTTATTTCTGTTTTAAAGGAACTATATGCACCTATATATATTTTTTCAGTATGTAGGAAAAGGTCAGGAGATATACTAGCAGTTGTAACTTACAGAAAGAAATTATATTGAAAGAAAGGAGATGGCAGGGTGGCGATGAGGAAAAATTACATCTTTCACTCTGTAGGTTTGTATGTATTTGCACTGTTTATGGTGAGCATATACTCACCTAATACTTTTATAACTAAAATAACTTTTCAGGTAATAAATATACTTGAAATGAAAGAAACTTCCTAATATACAAGTGAAAAGAAACCCATTACTTCACAGAGTTCCTTCTCTTTCTCCCTCCTTTTATTTCATTATAAACTAAACAAAACTGAATGATAACAACACATTCCATTCCTGGCTTTAACAGCGGTCACTCCTTTGTAAGTGAGTGGACCAGAATAAAAACCCAGAAGAGAATCAGTGCTGAGACAGGAGAACAAACAGTGGGCAATGTAAAAATGTTAAGAAGAAAGATCAAAGAGCCACATATTTTCAAATAATCTGCATTCCAAATGACAAAACATAATAAAAATCCACTTTTATGTATGTAACCTTTCATATTGCTTTTAACATTTACAGCGTAAGCAATGATTTGCTGCATAAAGAAAATGCTGGATATTTATTTAAGCCTGCAAGTCTGAGCACAGAGCAGGTCTTCCAATAGCAACATCTCTTTATAATGTTGATGAGATGCCCCAGGAACTTATCTAGGGCTTCCTCCAGGGTAAAACTGGTTTCATTATACCCCTTTTTGCCAAAGTTCCGAGAATCTATTAACATTAAATGGGGCTTATGGTGCTACTCTGCAGGTCATATGGATCAGAATCACCCATGGGATTTATTAAATATCAAAAGTCAAGATCTTTATGTCCATCTAACTCCAAATCTGAAGTTAGAGGGTGGAAATCTGCAGCTTCACCAAGGACCCCATGTGACTCAAGAATCCCAAAGTTTAAGATACACTTTTTTTTCATTAAAGTTATTTTTTCACCAATAACTTTATTGATTTGGATATTTTGAGCGTGTCAGCTATCTCTGGCTATTGGCTTCCAGTAGGTAAAGAGCAGGGGTGCTGCTGAACCTCTTCCGATGCCTGAGACAGCCCCACGGGACAGAACTATTTGGCCAAAATGTCAATAGTACCAAGAAACTTCACAAACTACTTCTGACACAGTCAGTCACAGAACCTTCTTTATACACTGCACAAATCTTTTTTTGCATTTCAGCTGCATTTTTATCTTTCTTGAAATAATAAAGCCTAATACACTGAACATGTTGCATATTTTCTTTCATCTTCAGTATTAAAATGGGTACACAAAAATTCACCAATTTTGATGCTTTTTTTTTTTCTTTTTAAATGTATGCTGATATGACAGCTGTCACAATACAATCTAACAAAATTGTTTGGAATGAAGTTAAAGATAACTAAGTAGTACTAGACCCATTGTATGGGGGGAAAAAATGTAACGGACTTTTTGGCCAACCCAGTACTCAGCCTGTCTTAAATACATTCAAGGCATTTAAAGACACAAAAATTTCGATGCTCATTAGAGTTCCCAGAAAACAAATTAACTAAATTTCAAACATTTCTTCAAAACAAAACTGTTGCAAATTTCTTACACCAGCTCTGGGTTTGTCCACTAAATCTCAACAGTATGGAGGATGGATCCAGAAACCCACCACTGACTTGCAATGAAACACTGGCCACATACCCAACCTCTTATCTTAACCCACAAAAGAGTTAATATACTATGTAGACTTCCAATACTCCTGACACATGTATTTTGCTGTGTATAATGCACATTTTTGCCCAAATTTTTGAGGGGAAAAAATAAGGGTGTGCATTATACATGGGTAGTGCTCATTCCGTATCTATATAAATGTTTTTAATTTTTTTATGGCCAAAAAACATGGGTGCACATTATACACTGTAAAATACGGTACTTTCTTAAGCATTCAGAAACACTGAACATCATAGAAGTAAACAGAAATGGGATCATTCTATAAATTAAAAGATTCTTATTTGGCTTTCTGAAAAACAGTAAGGTCATAATTCATCTTCTAAAGATCAAGCATTCTAACCTAAACAAAATCCAATTTGACTTAGAGTTTATACACCACACAAACAGGGACTGCTTCTATTTTGATCATAACTCTAAGCCCGGCACCAAGTGTCTGGCACACAGTAGGTACTCGATAAAGATTTGTTAAATTAATATGATTTTAACCAGGTTGCTCCTCACATGTAGACATGAATTTGGATAAACTGGGAGTGGCCAGTGGGAGGGACAAATATGAGACTGGGAAGGAGGGAAGATGGATTCTGCACAGGGCTCTGCGGCTGCGAAGAACAGGATCTCGTTTCTGCAGCTTAATCTTCCCAAGTCTCATATCCCTTTCTGTGAAGTGCGGGAGCAGATTGTGTGAAATTAACTGCCAAGGAATCATTTCAGTTCAGGCTGAAATACTGAAATTGAGATTCTAGAGTAAATACTCCTTTGATAAATGTCCTTGGGTACTATCATTTCAAAGTTAATACTGTAAAGACAAAGAAACATTTTGAAATGTGGATTATTACCTTCATCACTTTGTCATTCTGTGATTAAGTATGAGGACAATCCATTTGAAAGCAAAATAAGACAGATAATGAGTAAAAAAGTAAACTGTCAATTTATAAACTGAATCAGTTGTTATCATCCCAAATTTCAAAATCTATTAATTACACAAATTATTTTTATCTAAATATTCTAGAACGGTACCTAATATAGTTATTATTGAATGTGGGGCATAGTTAGCAAAAAAAAAAAAAAAAATGCAAGCTCTCTTTTTGAGAAGACTTTTACAATAGTTTATAGAAAACTCATAATCACAGGATGGTCAATCACATAACCACACGTTTTAAAGGATCATAAAGACTTTCTGAGCACAGAGACAATAAATACAAAATGTGCCAAGTTTAGAAAACAGATCTACTTACTAATCAAAATGACCTTCATTTACAGAGCTGCAAATCAGTCTTAACTGCAGCCGAGGGCCATGGAGAGCAGGAGCGAATACTAATCTGCATGGCCACCGCCACAACTCTGGTATATCAGAGCAGGTCAGCAGATGTCTTAACTTGCATGACAAACGCCCTAGGCTGAAATGGGAAAAACAATGAAGGGCGCCCTTAAGATTCCAGGAGAAATACTCATGAATCCAGAAGGAAGTCAAAAGTTATCCCAGCCTCTGAAGGAGAGGGGTAGCCTGGGAAGGCAAAAAGTCACCCTGAGATAGGGGGAAGTCAAGACAAAGGTACCTTGGCTCGCGTCACTGTTGGCCATTCTCAGGGAGAAGTACTTTTAAGTACAGGGTTCCCCACAGTGACCCTCTTGCCCAGTCCCAGGAACACTTGTCCCAAGCCCTCAATGGATACAACCACTGGCAGAACAAGGTGGTCTTTTTAAAACCTTGAAAGAGCTGCATAAAGAGTTAAAAGACTTGTCCCACTTTGGAGAACTGGTTGCAGTGAGCATCACCAGTGTATGCAGGACAGTGGAGGAAGCTTGGATAGCAGCAGGCTGCAACACAACCATGGCAAAGAAAGCAGAAAATAAAACCCTAGCGCTACCTCAAAGCTCTTTGAGGGATAAAGCAAATGTAGCAACAGACAGCGCAGCAGTGAATGTTGGTCAGACTGTACAGCTAATTGCCCGAGAGGCAAAGGAAGGAACAGGTGGAACAGGTAGAGGCTGTTCCTGAGGCTCCTGAGCCAGCTCAGTCAGTGCCCTTGGGGACTGGACCCAGGAGCAATAGTAAGTAGGGTGTCAAAAACCGCTACAAATGTCACTCATGCCCCCAACCATGCTTAAGGCTGGTATAGCCAGTAAGACAAGGCTTCCAATAAAAATGTCCACTCACCATCTTCCGGAGCCATGGTGCTTTGGACAATTTCATGAAGGTCAAATGGGGCTTAAAACTTCTGCTTTCTCCTGCCAAGATGCCTTTTTCTTGAAATGTCCTTTTTGCAGCCTCTGAAGTAAATAAGAAACACAAAAGTATAACAAAAGTTGCTGTTGTTATAAAAATAGCAATTCAAAAAAATAATCAAGTATTTTATAATAAAGATTACTTTATATGCATCTTTGAGATTTTTTTTAAAGGGATAAACACCATACGCATGATGAACATATTTATGACAGTTAAATCTGCAATGATTTCAAACTTCAGGTAAAACACACAAAAGCAACAATTTGAAAGGGAAACATTTAATAAAATAACTGTTTGGCTGATAAGATGCTGACTTCCACTGAATATACCAATGGTGCCCATATGTATAAAAAAGGACTAGCTGATCTATAGCCTTCATATCTAAAACTTTTGCTACTGACCAAGACGAAATAATAGGAATCAGATTTTCCCTCCCATCTGAAACAATTAATAAAAGGACAAAGTACATGAAACAATGGTTTGCAAGACACTGTACACATAAGCACTACAGGTCAGTGGTCCCTGAGAGATGAGAAACAAACAGGAGGCGCCGATCCACTGCCCAGGCTACATCTTTGAGTGTCCAGGCCCCTGTGCAAGGAGAAGCCCAGATGGAGCCCAGTCACCTCACTGGGTTCAGGAAAGAGCTGACAGTAGGAAAGACCACGGCATCTGGAGCTCACGGGCCAGAGTACTGGAGAGGTGAGACCTGCACAGAGCGAAAAACTCCAGAAATCCACAGAGGGTCCCCCGGAATATTCAGCTGAGCATAGACCAGCACATACATATGAGCAAACTACAGCCTATAAAAACCCTTCCCTGCAAGTCAAGGCCACCAACTGATTTTTTTCTCCTCCGTTCTATGCTAATACAGAAGGTTAAGCAATAGATCATTAAAATGCCAAGAAAACACTGGTTCTCAGTTGCAAACAGCAGATGACAACTTTGGCTTAGTTAGGCAGGAAAGGAATCTATAGAAGAACATGGGAGGACTAGAGTACCAGGCTAGAAGGGTATGAGGTCAAGATTCCCAAAGTTACGGAGAGCAGATCCAGTGACACCACAAGATCTTCCAGCTGGCACCTCTGACACTGTGCACAGCAAAGGGCTAGATCTGCAGCCATCGGCCTCAGGCTGGTGGTAGCTACCACGATTGGCACAGCCCATCCCGAGAATGGGTTCTGCACAGCTCCTTTTCTTTCAAGTTACTAGCTTCTGATTCAAAGCCTGGGACGAAGCAAGATCGTGTTCCTAGCACAAAGGAACCTGAAAGAATGTACCTGACATGGGAGAATAAGGAGGAAGAGTTTAGACATTGGGCAGCCAAAAAAAAAGACAACAGTCCAGCACACACATATTTTAAAACAATAAGAGTATAACAACAAGTACTATTATAATTAACTTAACCAACATTCAGCTCATATAAATTACAGGTATATCTTTTCTCTACTACCCTGTCATAACCCAGCTTTGACCTTCTCTATTTTGACATATTCTCAACTGTTTCAAATAGATCTGGAGTTAAAATATTAGGCTGAATCATATGAAACTGTCATTTTTATAGGTCAAAAACAGCTGAACGTTGGCAATGTCTGATGGTTTAACAAATACCAGGGTAAACTAAATTATTAAGTTTCTAATATTTTAGTGAAGGGAATAGAGCATATTCTCTATGTCTTCAAGTATTTGATGAATTATCATATAGATGAACTTATGATAGAAATTTACCAATATATTCGTACTAACCCAGAAAACAGAAATAGCATGGAGGTACAAAAGCAAAAATTTGTTTGTTCAGTTACGTTCTGAGCACTTCCCAATGTGCCAGGCATGTTACCTGCTAAAGACAGCAAACATGGCCCTGCTTTTATCGAGCTTGCAGTCTCATGGGAAAGATTTCAGTCCAATAAAGAGAAGGACTTAACAATGTTCAATATTATCAAAACATACAAGAGAAACAATGAAAGAAGTTTTATTAACAGAAACTAAAATAGTAGGCATCTGTAGTATTCATTACTATCTACATTAGTTTTTACATATTATTTGATTCTTAAAAAATGGCATTTTTCAATTTACTGGTCAAATTTTGACCCAAGAGTTCTTATTATTCATGGAAATCCTTGATGATGGAAATCTATTCACAAAACTGATTTATAATATATTTGTCACAAAGTACATTTAATTTTTATTAATGTGTTTTTCCAGTACAGCATATTCTCTAGGTACATAGGCATAGGGAAAAAGAAAATGCCACCTTCTTTTTGAAAAGTACTTCTTAGTATTGATTTTATATTCCTAATAAGAGTATAAACTATTGCTTAGCCAGAGTACCAGGTAATAGTTATAGATATATCATTCTTGAGCTAAGAAGAGTTTTTGCTAGTGTGAAAACCACATGTCATTCTTCGTCTATGTTAATTTATGTTCTGGAAAAGAAGCTTATGAATAATTTAAGAGATTGTTCAATTCCAGTACCGCAGACACTCCTTCAAGCACTAAACAGAAAATCACACTGCAGATTCATCAGACGTCCTTCATAAGGCAGCTAAGAATGCTTCCTAAATAATATAATTTACCTGATAGCTAAAGATGAAAATTGTCTGAAGAACAATTTCTTAAAATACATTACCATAGTAGACTTTGCTATATAGATGAACACGGGAATGAATAATTTAATAAAGAAACAATACTTTTGTTATCCTAACAAGCAGTTTTATCTGCGGGTTTCTTGTTGGGGCGGTCGTTTCCATCTATTCAGCAAATATTTATTGAGCATGCTAGGTACTGGGAAGTTTAATTTGTTATTTAAGTTTTATAATAATATGTATTACTTTTAGATAGGAAATTTCTCCAGGTAAACTCTTAAATATATAGCAGCAATAAATTTATGCCTAAAATGTAAAGAAATTGCTGAAAGTTGTCTCAAACTGTAACATCAATTTCAATAATTTGTGTATTTGTAATTACATACACTTTCTTGCAAAGTAAATATATTTTTTCTCATTTTTTTCCCTTTTGCCATTTACTCCCCTTTTCTACAATAGTGAGAGTGTTTACATGATAGCATGACCCATGATCTGAGAATATTAACAAAGAGGTGTAGTTTTTTAATTGATGTACACAAAGAGGTTTATTTATAAGAATAGTCTAGGATACTAATGTAAATTAGGTGGTCCTAATATATTCTTAACTATATATATTGTATTTCAGTAAGTAGATGCAACAGAAGTAGTAAGTTAGATTTTAGATTTAAAAAGAATGACTTCTGATTAAACAATACACCATACAATAGAAAGCAGTAAGTTCTTTCCATGCTTTCCAATTGGGAGACACTTTCTAATATCATTGTAAGATTAGTAAAATTATGTCACATATAATATTAAAAATCTCGATAAAATTTTAGAATTACTTTTTAACCATCTAAAACTTAAAAGAAAGAAAAATCATACAACTGTTTCCATTTTATTACTATTTAAAGGATTCTTATTTCCTTATGCTGCTTAAAATATTTCATTTTAAATGGTTTTAGTAAGTCAATTGAATTACATGCTCAGGCATAAAGGCTGGCATAATGTTGAAACCAACTTCTATTTAAAATTTTTATACTCATCATTTTAAATAGGTATTCCCAAACAACTGCTGTGTAGAACTATCAAATAGGACTTTAAAACATTAAAGGGAAGTCTTTAAAATTACTCCTTGATGCCAGAAGAATCACATTAAATCCACTATAATTGACAAAAAAAAAAAAAAGACCTGATCTGAGCATCCTAGTTACACTGGCCCAGTTCTCCTCTTATTCAGCTTGTGCTCTTGGATGGATCATTTAACTTGACAGCAGAAGTGATGAGGTCCCTTCTCTTGGGTCCCTTCTTAGCCTAACAACCAGCTGATCAAAGTAAACTGTCAGAGAGCTCCAGTGCAACAACTGCAGGAGATTCTAGACACCAGGCCAGGGTTTTATTCTCATGCAAATATTTAAACATGAATGTGAATGAGGGAAGAGAGACTATTTAAAGTTAAATGTTCTTTTGATTAGACTTTTATGTATAAATTTTTTTTATTGGTTTATACATCTATTTAAAAATCCATATATATTGGAGCTCTACTCTGTAGCAGGCTCTAGGGACACAAAAATGAAAGATTCCCTCAATGAGCTTTCACTCTAGTTGAGAAAGACAGATTTCAAAATAACCAAATGCCATGTGGTATTACAGTTTCTACAGATCGCCAGCTACAGGGTATGGGAGCATTAGAGGAGAATACGGTCATTTCTATTGGGTTGGTCAAAATGTCTGTTTAGTTTTTTCCATAAAATAAAAGACACATTTTTCATTTTTACCAATAACTTTATTGATTTGGATATTTTGAGTATGTCAGCTCTCTCCCACTATTGGCTTCTAGTGGGTAGAGGCCCGGGGTGCTGCTAAACCTCTTTCAATGCATAAGACAGCCCCACAGCAAAGAATTATTTGGCCAGAACGTCAATAGTTCCAAGAAACATCACAAACCACTTTTGACACACTTGATCAGTCACAGCACCTTCTCCACCCACTGCACAAATCTTCTTTTTGCATTTCAGTTGCATTTTTACCTTTCTTAAAATAATAAAGCATAATATGCCAAAAATATTGTGTATTTTTCCATCTTCAGTGTTAAAATGTATGTACAAAAATTCACCAATTTTGATAATTTTTTTTAAATGTATGCTGACATGATATGCTGAAATGAAGCTGTCACAACACAATCTAACAAAATTGTTCCAAATGAAGTTAAAGACAACTAAGCACCACTAGAGCCACCATATGGGAAAAAGTTAATGAACTTTTTGGCCAACCCAATATTTTGAAGAACCAAAAAAAGCCTTTATTTTACACAAAACATTTGACATGAGTCTTTTATAAGATCAAGGATACAACCCAAAAAAGATTAAGAAAACAATTCTGTTTAAAATATTACCAAAAATACTAAAATACTTAGGACAAAACTTTAACAAGGAGACAAAAAACTTATATCCTAAACATTACAAAATGGAACTGAAAATAAAGAAAACACAAATAAATAGAAAGACACCTCATGTTCATGGACAGGAAGGCTTAATATTGTTGTGATGCCAATACGACCCAAAGCAATCCCTATCAACGCTCCAATGGTGTTTGACAGAAGTACAAAAATCATCCTAAAACTCGCTTGGAATCTCAAGGGACTACGAATAGCCAAAAACTCTTGATAAAGAAGAACAAATCTGGACATCTAACATTTCCTGGTTACAAAATTTACTACAGACCTAAGTAATCATAATAGTGTGGTACTAGCATGAAGACAAACATATAGAACAATGGAACAGAGAGCCCATGAAATAAATTCAAATGGTTTTTGACAAAGGTGCCAACACCATTCAAATGGGGAAAGTACAGTCTTCTCAACAAATAGTGTTGTGAAAACTGGGTATTTTCACATGCAAAAGAAAGAAGTTATTAAACCTTTACCTTATACCGTATAGCAAAATTAACTCAAAATGAATCAGAGACTAAATTAAACATAAAGCTATGACTACAAAACTCATAGAAGAAAACAACTTCATTACACTCGATTAAACAATGATTTGCTGGCTATGACACCAAACCACAGGCAACAAAAGTAAAAATAGATAAACTGAACTAAATTTTAAAACTTCTGAAAAAGCTAAAAATTAAAGCTGGAAAATACATTATATTTAAATAAGTGATATTGTAAGTTCTGAATATTTTTAAATGTACCACTTACCATAAAATTCATAAATATTAATCTAATAAACTGCATTAAAATATTTTTATTTAATCAATTTTAATTTAATTAATAGAGCAGCCTAGAAAGACCCAAAGATACCAGCAACCAAACAGATTCCCCACAAAGGGCAGAAAACATAGGGCATCTTCTCTCCATCTTTTGGAGGAAAATGATAAAGTAAGAGAAAGTGTAATGTTCAAATGAATATCCTAAAACTTTTCATTTTTCCTTTTATGAGAAAAGTGCACTTGGAATCTTTTATCATGCTAACCAAGCACACTTTTCTCATTTAAAAAAATTTGCAAGGACTACTATAATTCCAGTAGGCTAAATTTTTAGCAATCTCTCAATCTAGAATACTTCTTAACAAAATTACAGTTCACTGGGGGAAAAAAATGAAATCACATTCATTTTTATGCAAAAAACTTTTCAGTGTAATTTCATCATTGTAAAATGTGGAGAAATGCCATATAAATGCATAATTTTCAATATCTTCTTAGCTCTATGAACTAATGTAATGCAAGAAACGGAGAGGGTGCTATTTTATTCTGGAAAAAGAGGATCCAAGTAGGAAGCTGAGACACAGACCCTCTGATGTCATCCACCGTCCCAGCTCCCTCAAGCAGGTACACCATAAACCTACATGTACGTTGTATACAAAGGTGAGCTTGGTCTCTTCCCACCAAGCATCTACCAAAAATAAGTCATTAGCATCATATCCAGATGCACAATTCAAGTATTGATGTAAAAGTTCATCAGTTTAGACCCTGTTAATTCAAAATTTCTAAATTATTTATTACCCTGCAAATTTTCAGCAGTAAGTTCAATATTAGTTTCTAAAATTGTCCTTTTTTTCAAAACAATGTTATATTTTAAAAATTTGCTTATTCTAACTTGTAAATTTTAAAACTCTTTGAAAATTAGGCAAGTAAGATTATTCATGAATTATAATTTTAAACTACTATTCAGGTTAACTTTACTTCATAATATGTACTTGAACTTAAGTTCATTATCAATACTTTAATCATTAAATTTATTTTCTTTAGAAATTACCTTGCTTTCTATTGAGTTAAACTAGTTTTGCCTCCATTATTTTGAACAAATAAGTTTTTAATATTTCTGCACAGGCATATACATATACACAACTAATTACAAAGTTTTGTGCCATGGTCAATGGATACATTCTTCTAAAAGTTGAACTGTATCATTTGAATAGTTTATAAAATATGACACAAAAACAAAATTACATTATTTTAATTATACTGTTGAACTAAAGCAACACTTTACCCGAGCCATTCTTTTAAAAAATAAATCTGATGACATAAAATATTGACAAAATGTCCATGTATTGAACATTCTACTGAATACTTTTTAAGTGAAGACTCCAACTAGAGTTCAATAAAACCTGCATATACATATTTAAATATTTATATTTCTTATAAAAGTCCATAAAAGCAATAATCAAAAATAACAGTACAAAGCCATAATCAAAAGCAATAGTGCAGTATATACATAAAGATTTAAAGCAAGATTAACAGTGATCATACGAGGGCGGATAGAGTGCTTTTTTCCCTCTATTTCCCATTTCTTGGTAATGTTTTGTTTAAGTTTACGGAAAAGCATATACTTTTAAGCACCAGTCTCTGGGGTCAAGGAAGGAATGACAGGAGTAGCGGTCTCTCCTAAAACGACAAACACTACCCTTGGGTTCACAGTCATACTAAAACCGGAAAGATTTCACATTCCTAAGCAACAAGGGATCTTTAATTAATATTCGAAACTGCCTTTGTGAGAATATTTGCTAAGAATGGATGGAATTCTCAATGTTGCAAGCACGCATTTAATTATTTAAAAGAATAAATTAATGACTAAAGAATAAATTCTCTGAACTCAAGAAACATTTTAAAATGGCCTAAATCTACCCTCTCCTCCAGAGCAGTAAAAAAGAACAGATTGGGTTTGTTAACTGGAGTCAGAGGTGCCCAAATGCTTTCCCATCAAAACTCTAATGAGTCACCTTCTCCTCGGCCAACTAATGAAGTTAAGTCCTTCTTGACTCATAAATATTATTTAATTGTTTGCATGTTTGTTTGTTTATATATACAATGAAATGAAACCCAATCTTCATGCTTGCCTCACCCCAAAAAGATGTATACTTTTGAATGAGTAACTATAAAATTGCATGAAGACAATATTAAGTGAAAAAAAAAAAAGTATGTCTCAAAAGATCACATACAACCTGATACCCTTTTTTATCAGATTAAAATCAATTAGCACTGGCCCGGGGCTTAACTGATTGCAGCATCGTCCCATGCACCAAAAGGCTGCAGGTTTGATCCCTGGTCAGGGCACATACCTAGGTTGTGGGTTCAGTCCCCAGTTGGGTACATATAGGAGGCAACCAATAGATGTTTCTCTTTCACATCAATGTTTCTCTCTCTCTCTCTCTGTATTTCTCTCTTGTTCCCTTTGTCTCTCTCTAAAATCAATAAGCATATCCTCAGGTGAGGATTTTTAAATAAAGATTAAAGTCAATTAAAAATACATATATTGTGGGAGAATACAAGAAAATAAATACTGACTTCAGGATTACAGTTAACTTAAATGATGAAGACTAAGAGAAAGATTGATGAAAAGAACAATAAGGTTATATTACTACCAAGGACAATATCATAGATTATTGCATAGCTTTCATTTTAGGTTGGGGATTCCCGGGTGATTATGATATTAATTTAAGATATATGATTGATAGATAGATAGATAGATAGATAGATAGATAGATAGATAGATATACAGACAAACAGATAAAAGTAGCCCAAGCACAGAACAATTATGAGGTATGCTATGAGCCAAGGACTACTGAACCTGAAATGAGATGATGTGAAATAACGAGATACAAAAATAAAAATGGTTTACAGTTTGTAGACTAACACCCAATCTATGATCTCTGGATCCAGGTTGTATAGTTTTCTGCTTCCATTTCCCCAACAATTTTCAATTGTGCTGGACAAAGTTAACGTGTTCTCTAATGGATGTGAGACTTTATACCATCATCAATGGACCTTCTTCTCAGAAAGCAGTACCTACACAGGAGCGGGGAAAGTAGTACAAGAAGACAATGCTGCTGAGTCATCTACTGACTCTCTGAACTGGGGCTAGCAATCCCCAAAATCTCTGAATGCGCAACTGGTGATTCTTATTCATTCACTCAATAGTTATTAAATGCCTACTACATGTCAAGTGTCATGCTAATCCTGAGACCCTTCAGATTTAGGATTATGACACTCCTAACAAATACTTGAATCCAGCCCACCACCTTTCAGACAGCCTCAGAATCAACATATACCTCAGGTCAAAGAATCGAGATGCCTTTTCAGGCCTTTTATTTGGCTTCTCAGCTACACACACAAAAAAATGCTGAAGCAGCTCACTTATCAAGTAAGATGATTCTGACTTCCCAGTTAAAAGATGTCAAATCTCTATTACCAGAATTGGGGGAAAATTTTACTTCTTCAACAGATGACACTTCACATGAGTGTGTTGCTTTTTGTTTTACCTGCAATCTCCAAAAGTGGGTTTATATGATCTCCTTCTGCCAATTTCACAAATCCAACCTGATTTCCAAAAGTGTCAATCCCTTGAAAGGGCAACATCAAATGTCTTCCTTGAAGGATTTCTTCTACGAATGGTTTTAATTCCAAAAGAGCATCAACGCCACTAGCAAGAGATAGTATATTTTTCAGTAACATATTAAGTGATAAAATATACAAAACCAAGCATTAAACAAAGTCATCAGTTTTAGAAAGATAAAGAAATTTTGATATTTGTACTAATTATTTTTAAGCACAAAATACCTTTAAAAGTTAGTCTAAATGATTAAAATAAACCAAATGTTAATTTTTAAAGAAAAACTCTGGAAGAAGTGAATTAAATTTTTACCTAATTATATTTCTATTATACTAAAGGCATGAATGAAAAAACTATTTTATAGTTCACCAAGAATTTTTCAACAAGGAAATAATGCATGCACATTTCAGAAAAAAATGACTCGCAATATATTTCAAGAAACCTAACACCTACAAGAGCTTACATTAGATTGAGAGAAGTCCTAGATTCTCGTTAGAAGTACTGAGATCTGCCGGCTGGTGTGGGGAGACAGACAGTGAAGTGTGGAGGTCACTGCCACCCCTGCGACTTGCCACCATGAGCAGCACCTTAGCCAAGACTGTGGAGATCGAAGCCGAGATGGCTCGGACTCAAAAGAACAAGGCTACGGCACACCACTTCGGGCTGCTTAAGGCTCGCCTTGCTAAGCTTCGCAGAGAGCTCATTACTCCAAAAGGCGGTGCCGGTGGTGGGCCAAGACAGGTGACGCTAGAATTGGATTTGTGGGTTTTCTGTCTGTGGGGAAGTCAAAACTGATCAGTAACCTGGCAGGGGTATATCCTGAGATGGCAGCCTAGGAGTTCACTACTCTGACCACTGTGCCTGGTGTCATCAGATACAAAGGTGTCAAGATTCAGCTTTTGGATCTCCCAGGTATCATTGAGGGTGCCAAAGATGGGAAATGTAGAGGCCACCAAGTCATTGCAGTGGCCCAAATATGCAACTTGATCCTGATTGTTCTGGATGTCCTGAAACCCTTGGGACATAAAAAGATAATTGAAAATGAATTGGAAAGCTTTGGTATTTGCTTGAACAGCAAACCTCCTGACATTGGCTTTAAGAAGAAGGATAAGGGTGGTATTAATCTCACAGCCACTTGCCCTCAGAGTGAGCTGGATGCTGAAACTGTGAAGAGCATTCTGGCTGAATACAAAACCCATAATGCTGATGTGACTCTGCGTAGTGATGCCACAGCAGATGACCTTATTGATGTGGTGGAAGGAAACAGAGTTTATATCCCCTGCATCTATGTGTTAAATAAGATTGATCAGATCTCCACTGAGGAATTAGATATCATCTATAAGGTACCTCACTGTGTACCTATCTCTGCCCATCACCGCTGGAATTTTGATGACCTATTGGAAAAGATCTGGGACTATCTGAAACTTGTGAGGATCTACACCAAACCTAAAGGCCAGTTACCAGATTATACATCCCCAGTGGTACTGCCTTACTCCAGGACCACAGTGGAGGATTTCTGCATGAAGATTCACAAAAAATCTTATTAAAGAATTTAAATACACTCTGGTCTGGGGTCCCTCTCTGTGAAACACAATCCTCAAAAAGTGGGTAAAAACCATACATTGGAGGACGAGGATGTCATTCAGATCGTGAAGAAGTGAAACCTTCCCCGTTACCGATCTACTGGGCCAGCCACTGCAGCTTTCCCCACGACCAAGCAATCCCCTTCTGGCTCTGGCAGCCACTGGGTCAGGATTCATGGGAGGGAGGTGGAGGTAACCATAAGGGGACTTCATTTGTCTTAACTGGGGGTCACCTTGTATGTTGAGCTGCATAAAGGACCTGGTAGGCCAGCTGGCTATGTGCAAAAAAAAAAGTACTAATACTTATACCATATTTACTATATCCAAGGTGCTCTATTAGAACTTAATAAAATTATCTCTTAAAATATGTGTCTATGATAAAATAATTTACTATACCTGGACTCAACAAAAAATGTAAGTTTATATTTGCTGAATACAACTACATAAGTTTGTTGTATGTGCTTCACCTATGCCATTATAGGGTTATTCTATTTCAAGCCCTTGATCTTTCCTTACAAAATCAAATATTTACTATATTAATTAATTAGACATTATTAGGTCTAGATAGTTTATAAATTAGGATCAGTTATTTCCATCTTAGGATTTTGGTATAGGTACTCTATCATGAGAAAAAAATTAAAATCTCACTAGAGGGCAGCAATTACTCAAAAAAGAAAGTACATTCTTAATTTATAGAGAAGGCTTTAAAACAAATACCCTCTGGTGAACCAACACTAATTTAAATTATCTTGATCAGTGATTTGCTCAACAATAATTGTACGTTAAATTGTTAAATGTATACCAAAAAAATTAGGTATTTTTCCAGATATTTCATGTCTCTAAATTAGTTTTCATATAAAGCTTTTAATTGAAGGTCATCTATAACTTCTACAAGGAGACTCATTTTTGTCTTAACATGATGTACAATACTTAAAAATAGCTCTGGAAATGTCAACATTTCTCATTATACCTCCAAATCCCCATCTTAAATCCAGTCTTTCCTAACTATATTTATATTTATCCAAAAAAGACACAATGCACACATTTCTATTGCAATACCGTCCTTCGCTGTGTGCTGTGAGTTAAAGCATGAAAAAAGAGAACAGGCACTTCTGGTTCATCTATCATAAATCAGAGGAATTCAAGAGACTTATTTTAAATGTAACTCTGTGCTAAAGCAAACCATACTAAAGGTTAGAGCTTTTCAGAGACAGTGAATTCTATATCCCATTTTCTTTAAAGAAATACAGATGATCTACACTTAGTCCAATTTTTCAGCTCTCTGATTGCATAAATCAACAAATTTGTCCTAGTGGGATGTCATCAATCACAGAGTAAGAAGGAGTCATAGATCTATGGTAAGCATCACTAACTTTCAAACTTTTAAAGAGAGTATCTTTTCAAGAGTAGTTTATGAAAAGACTTCAGTGTAAAATGAGTAAGAAGTACACACATATAGGAAACAGAATTCTGAAACTGGACATCAGACCCAAAGACTGTATTTGCAATTTAGACAGGACGGCCATCCTCCAAGGAAGAAGGAATTCTGCCTCCAGGCTGCCACTGAACTTGAGACCACAGCCTCAGCTCTTCCCTGCGTCTCTAGCCTGCCACACCACCCTACAGAGTTTGGACTTGCCAGCCTCCCCAATTACATGAGATAATTCCTTAAAATAAATATATAGACATAGATGATATAGGTATAGATAGATGTAGATATAGAGAGATATCAGTATATCTAGATATCCACATTCATCCTTCTCGTTCTGTTTCTCTCGAGAACGCTGACTTACACACCGTTCTCACACACACAGGGCAAGCTCTCTTTTTCCCTAGGACTTTCATCTTGACTCATATCTTCTTTGGCTCCTTTTCTTTTAAAAGCATCAAAATTTTGTTTTTGTTTTTATTTTTCTTCTGACTGGCAAAATGGTTAAAGTGAGTCAAGTAAAATCTTCTAGTTCTCTCTGCCATTGCACGGTGCTCAAGACTTGCTCTTTGGTAGAGTAAGTTGGGATAGATCAGATGGCTGATCTCTAAAGAAATGAGGTTTTACTGTTTAAAAAATGTAACTACCAGAATCACAATGTATGCCCCGGCCTGGCGGCTCAGTTGGGCGAAGTGCCGTCCTGTGCACTAAAAAGTTACAGGTTTGGTTCCTTAAGCTTGAGCTTATTCCAGAGGGTTATACAGTAGGTAAGAGGAAAGGGGCGATCACACATATACACAGAGTATCCCAGAGAATCCCTGGGGGAAGAGTAAGGTCTCTCCACTCTGGATTGGAAAGCAACAGTCAAAACCTTGATGGCACAAGTCTAGAATTGGGAGTGGGGAAAGTACAGGCATTCTAAGAATGAGTGAGGTAAAACTGAAATTCTACAGTGACCTAGCTGAACGACAGTTCTAACTAATAATAAGAGTGAGTGCCTACTGTGTGCCAGGCCCTATATTAAGAACTCTTATATGTATTAGTCCTATGATTTTCTCCATTTACTTAAAAAGGAAGTATTTTTTTTCCAAAATCAGACATCTATTAAGAGATGTTTATGCCATGGTGTGTTCCAGAGTCTTTACCTAGAAACCTAACCTAAATGGTCAGATTCCAGAGAGCTTACATAACAGCATAATCAAGGGCTACCGGTTGATAACAAAAACAGAGCTTAAAAGTCTAGATTAGAAAGAGCATTTACATAGCTAATTCTGTATATTGACTATTAATTGGAATAAATTATTAATATAATAAAGAATACTTCTTTAGAATTGAAATGCCTTTTGGCTTCTGCTATGTGTATTCATATCAAAGTAATAATTTGAAAAACAATATTCAAGAAAGATATATTACTCACATGTTTACTTCATCTTCATTTAACAGCTGCATCACTAGCAGGGTAATATGAAAGGAACCGTGACTGGCCATTGCCTTGGCCAGCCGCTTATCTTGTTCTATTATTGCATTTTGCAGGATCTTAATTCCTCTTGTAATCTAATCCACACAGAGACACATAAAATAGAGATTAGGTAAGCAAAAGTTCCTTATGACAAAATGTAAATCAAGCAGAAAATTAAGCAACAACCAAAATTAGAAATGTCAAAATTCTTCAACCAAATAATACTTAACTGTCTACTTGTTCTTAAATATCCTAACAGATGGCTTGGAAAGCCTAATAGCATGTTTAAGTTTCAAAAATCATACAGTGCTTGTCCACCCTAAGAACATTGAGCCTAACACCCTGATTTGACAGACTGGGTCACTGTTTGAGTAGAATAACTTTCAATGGCCGTGACCTCTTCAGAAAGTTGTCCTTGAATGTACAATCTCACTTACTATAATTATGAGCTCTCCTAAAAAAAAAAGTTTTATTCTTGCATAGAAAGATCAAACCAGCAGACAACAGTCCATTTTCTGTTGAAAGCCAAATTTATTTTTCCCCTAATGAATGTGTCTAACAACTCATTCTTCATGGCCATTAAGATTTTTTAAAACAGCAGTAATTTCAACAGGTGTGACCACTGTCCTTTTTCCAGACATGTGAGGAGGGAGAGAGGCAAAGAAGTCCAAATACGTCTGTTAGAAAAGCCATCACAATTTGCACCCAGAGGAAATCCCAGGTCCCTTAGTGGCCTTCCCCTCTCACAACCTACTGGAAACAAGAAGAGGAATGAGGCCTCTTCCCTCCCCGTTTCCAGTTAGGTCTGGTTCTAGCCAACTTGTACATGTGAATGCGCTAGAAAATAGTCCAAGTATGAAATTGCAAACTGAGCCATACCCTGAGAAAAGAGGGCACAGAGAAGCCCTGAGGCAGCAGAAATTGTCCGTCCGAGACACAAGGAGAAGGGGAGGGAGGGGCAGGCGATAGAAGCAGAGTCAGTAAGAGGCAGCAGAGATGGGAAAAAACGGAATCATGAGCCCAGCAGACTGTTCTGATACTGGAGCAGCTGTTTCATCCTGAACAATGCTCCCATTTTCTGAGGAAAGGGATTGAGCAAATCATAGGATGCTCTCCCGGGATCTGGCTGCTCGTGTGTCTTTACAATAAATCTGCATCACCCAAAAGGACCTCAGCGTTTCTCTCTTCCTTGCAATCTGGAAGAGAGTAACACAGGAGACAGCATTTTCCTGGTAGGAATTTACCCAATAACACCTAACATAGTATTTTCCTATGCAAGATGTCACTTCTATGACACCCAATAAAGGAATACTGATGGCCTGATAAATAAAATGCTTGTAACATAACAGTACACAAAAATCTTACAGAGCCACAGTTCCCTCTACTCTATATTGATACAACTAAATTATAAACTCTTGGAGGGCAGTATATAAATTCTTCTAGCCCACCACCTTACCACAATGCCTGCTAATAATAACAAAAACAATATTCAACCAATGACAGCATTAACTAATCTTTATAGTCTGGCCACTATGTTCTAGGCACTACAGCAACCTTTTTTACATACCTTAGTTCACCAAAGCCTCTCTATGATCCTAAGAGGTAGATATTGATATTATTTCTATCTAAAAAGTTGAAACACAGAAGATTAAAAAATCCCTTTAAGAACATATACCCAAAATAGCAAAGGAACTTGAGAAATGAATAAATTGTAGTATATGAGAAAAGATGAGGGAGGCACCCAGAGGAAAAGATTCTGGAAGGGTGAGGAGGAGGAGATGTAGCTAAAGAGCAATAGAGTAAGAGTAACAAGGAATTTGTTTTTAGCGAGGCAAAGAGAGGGTCAGAGATGTGAATACTGACTTAAGAAAATGAAACATCAAGGGAAGGGTATTTTTTAGGAAATCCTACTGGCTGCTGTGTAAGGGAACAAACACACTGTCCCTCTCAAAAAAAAAAAAATCCTTTGGTGTTAGTCTCTATTAAATTTTAAATTTTAAATTTGAGAGTTTTTCCAGGTACAATGAGGTGCGAAAATGGGCTTTTGGGAATGATGTAGCAGCTCAAGAAGGTCCCGGTTCATATGGAAAGGGCCTTAAACAGTGCTCAAAGATGTCAGACCTCAAAACAATCTCATTACATCTGCTAATCTTAGTTGATACCAGTGTAATTCTGGTCTAACACATTATGAAGAAGTGGCTTAGGCTGAGAATCTTGTTATATAAACAGAGTGATGCAACAAATGCAGGGCGCTGAACCTGCCTCAGAAATCCTAGGCTTTACCTCCGGGCTGCACAGGTGCGACCCAGTCTCTCCGAGTCTTCGTTTCTCCCGTTGCAAAACAGGAAGAATAAAATGTGCACTGCCAGACTCATAAAGGTATGTTAAAGATCACAACAGACGAGCTACTACAGAGTAGACAAACTGCTTTGTAAACTCTATACCGTTTGCCTAGCACATGGTATGCAACAGTGCCATTATTAAATGCAGTGGTTCTCTACCCTCGGCAATTTTGCCTCCCAGAGGACATCTGGCAATGTCTGGCCACATTTTGGTTGTCACAAATGAAGGCTTGCTGCTTGCATCTAGTGGGTACAGTATTCGCATTTTCTTAGTTTCAAAACATTAGTTTTCATTCTAAGGTCAAATAATAATTATATATAAATTCAAGACAACACTAAAAAAATTCCATTTATTTGTCTATGCAACATTTTAGTGCAATGTCCTACAAGGTAAAATAATTTTAGACCATTCATATCTTTGAATTATCCAATAGCTTGTAAAGTTGCTAATTAAAAACTGTAAAACAAATTGAAGACTAATTTCTCTGAAGTCACACAGTACTTGTAATGGAAGATCAACCTCAAACTTGTGAAAACACTACAGTTAATATAATCAAGTAATATATGCCTATATGTCTAATTATTCTTTGATGGGCCAGATTAATTTATGTATTCCTCGATATCATCTTAACATTTTTGAAACACATTTTATTCCTAATTTCATCCTTAAAAAAGAAAAAGAAAAAATACTTCAGAGTCTTGACTGTATGCCATTTAAAAAAGTACCAATGTCATGAAAGACCAAAGGAAACTAATTTTCATAGCCACTGTTTAAAATTGTATAAATCCATTAAAGCTTATCTTTCACCATAACCCACAGCCATTGGCAGTATTGCACAATGTACATTTTAAAAATCTAATACTGTAGATTCATATTTAAATATGACATTGAAATACACTTTTTAAAATAAAAAGCTTTATTAACTTCACTTCTGGTCAAGATAGCAGCATAGGCAGACATGGCTCGCCTCTGCACAACCACATCAAAATCACAACTAAAATAGAGAACAACCCTCCCTCAGAACCATCAGAAACCAAGTTGAATGGAAGTCTGGCAACTACGAAATTAAAGAAACTATATCCATCCAGACGGGTGGGGGCGGTGCAGATACAGGAGGGGCTGGTCCTTTATCCACATGTGGTGGACATAAACTCAGGAGGGGTATCTCAGGAGCAACGAGTTCCAGACTTACTCTAGGCTCCAGAGCCCAGTGTCCCAGTGCCAGGAAGATAAGTCGCCACAACTTCTGGCTGAAAAAACCAGTAGGGATTGAGTAGGTGGAAGAAACTTCTGGAGCCCCAAGCAGTTCCTCTTAAAGAACCCATGCATGGACTCGTCTGCTCAGACTCACTCCTTCTGAGCTCCAGCACTGGGGTAGCAGCTTGAAAGGCACCAGTGATATCCTGGGGGAAACTGAAGGATCTGGCATCAAGGTGAGCAGAGGCCATTGTCCTTTTCTAAACCCTGCCCCCACATACAGAACCAGCAAGCTGGTGCCATATCTGAGACTCCATCAACCTTGCTAACACTGCTTGACCTGCCTTGGAGATCCCCACCCAATCTATCGTCCCACCCAAGCTGCTTTTCCATATGAATGGCTAGTCTTGGCTCATGAGTCACAACTTCTTAAATCCTCTCAAACAAGCAACAGCTGGACTCAGTGAGCCCTAAACCCAGCACTAGCAGCAGCCAGCCTAGATTCACAGCTTTGCCTAGGGATCCCCAAGCCCAGCACAAGTAGCAGCCATCTCAGATTGCTTTATAGCTCAGGCAGGGTGGCCCCAGGCAAAACACACTCAAGGATGACCTTGACCTGTACCACCGAGGAAACTCCACAGCCTATGCGCCAGTGGACAGCTATAGTCCCTGTCAGAGCACCACCATGCTGCTCCTGCATAGCTGATCCTCCACAGAGGGTGGAGGTTGGCTGACTGAGGTCACAGCCAATCCTTGCAGCTGACTGGCCTGGGTAAATCCCTCCCACTGGCCTGCCAACAGCAATCAAGGCTCAAATACAAGAAGAACCCACTTCAGCCTACACAAAAGGTATATACCTCAAGTACCAGCTTGAGTGAAAGGGGAGGCTATGCCACCGGACCCTACATGACACCTACTACATTAGTCTACATGACCAGGACACAGAGTCAAAGCAACTCTGCCTAATGCGTAGAAAGAAACCCAGGGAGGCTGCCAAAATGAGGAGACAAAAACATGGCCCAAATGAAAGGACAGATCAAAACTCTAAAAAAAAGAACCAAACAAAATGGAAATAATCTATCAAATGCAGAGTTCAAAACACTGGTTATAAGGATGTTCAAGGAAATTAGTGATAGTGAGGACCTCAATGGCAAAAAAAAAAGGTCCAGTCAGAAATGAAGCATACACTAATTGAAATAAAGAATTTAAAGGGAAACAATGGTAGAGTGGATGAAACCAAGAATCAAATCAATGATATGGAACATAAGGAAACAAAAAACAACCAATCAGAACAACAACAAGAAGAAAGAATCCCCCCCATCTCCAAAAAGAAGATAGTATAAGCAGTCTCTGGGACAACTTCAAGTATTCCAACATTCACATCCTAGAGGTGACAGAAGGAGAAGAGAAAGAGCAGGAAATTAGAAATCTTTTTGAAAAAATAATGAAAGAAAACTTCCCTGATTTGGTGAAGGAAACAGACATGCAAGTTCAGGAAGCACAGAGAGTCCCAAACAAGATGGATGCAAAGAGGCCCACTCCAAGACACATAATAATAATAATCAAAATGCCAAAGGTTAAAGATAAAGGGAGAATCTTAAAAGCAGCCAGAGAAAAGAAGTTAGTTACCTACAGGGGGAGTTCCCATAAGACTGTCAGCTGATTTCTCAAAAGGAACTTTGCATGCTAGAAAGGATTGGCAGGAAATACTCATTGGCATGAAAAACAGGGACCTACCGTCAGGATTGTTCTACCCAGCAAAGATTATCATTTAGAACTGAAGGGCAGATAAATAGCTTTTCAGACAAGTAAAAACTAAAGGGGTTCATTATCACCAAATCATTATTATATGAAATGTTAAAGGGTCTCATTTAAATAAAAGAAGATCACAACTATGAACAATAAAATGGCAATAAATACAAATCTATCATCAACAGAATCAAAAAACAAACTAAGCAAACAAGAACAGAGACAGAATCATGCATATGGACAGCATTTTGATGGCTGTCAGATAGGTAGGGGGTGTGGGGAAATGGGTGAAGAGGTGAGGAGATTAAGAAGTACAAATACGTAGTTAGAGAATAGCCATGGGGACGTAAAGTACAGTATAGAAAATGGAGAAGCCGGAGAACTTATACGCATGACCCATGGACATGAACAATGGTGAGGGTTGCTGGGTGGAGCGGGGGCAATGGGGAAAAAAACCAGGACAACTGTAATAGCATAATCAATAACATATAGTTTTAAAAAAGCTTTATTAACTTCTGAAATATTTCATTCACTGAGTAGTTTCTTTGTGTTTAGAAAATAAATCAGACATCCATCTGTTAAACCTCACCACTAAGCCATAATCCACATGAATGAAAACAATGCAATGAGAAAATTCATTTTTATATCTTTAAAGTTTTCTAATTGAGTCAAAACATATATGAGTTTAAAGAAAATGTCTTAAAGTTAGGGTGCATGAGGGAGTGTGTACATGTTACATTCTACCACATAGCCAATGTCTTTGACCTGAACTTTCAACACTTTGCTATCTAACTTTTCTTCAAAGCTGAATACTCTCATTTTTCTTGCTTGTCAACAACCATGAAAAGAACTGAAAAATTGGATGATACAGTAATAACTGAAGAAAAGTAAAAAATTATCCTCAAACAGGAGAATTTTCTCTATCTACCAAGTGCTCAACATACATGATGTTAAATACTTTCACATTACATTTCCCAGAAAGAAACTGAAGACACAAAACTACTTTCACATTTTTCTAAGACCAGCAATTTTCACAGTACAAAATGAAGAAATTCAGAATTAAATGTAACAAATACATTTTAAAACCTCTAAACAAAATCATATTTGTCCATTAGTATAAAAAATTATCTTACTAAAAAATTTATACTCCTAATTTCAATCAGCTTCAATTGCTCCCTTATGTTTTTTAATGTTGATTTACCTTATATTATTACTTCGCATAAGAGAGCATATAAAATCTAACCAGTTTTGAAACACTGATAATTTATTATAACTCCATTAAATTTTCTTCTTTATTTTCATATTTAAACTAATGTGTGACTACAGGTAAACATATACTTTCATATACTTGAAATTAAGAGTATTTTTATGCTATTCCAATTCATTTTCCAATTCCATTTTTAACAAATATGAAATCATGACTTTCCATTAATAAAGATTTCAAAATGTCTAAGAATATGTTTAAAAATCAAAGATCCATGTGAGTCTGAAAACTTTTTTCTTTAAAACTAGATGCCAACAAGTAGAGACCAAAAGTAGAGCAACTCATTGTGAATGTGCTAGCTTCCAAAAGCTTGTTTGCAGGTCACTTAATTGGAATTTGGAATACAGTCTCCCATTGAAACAATGTTATAAATGCTGCTTCTTTTCCCAGGCCTTCCCACAAAAGCTCCAGTAATAGTTTAAAAAGAAAATTAACATTAGATACTTGAAAACAAAAAAATTGCTCATACAAAAGATATAAAAATGTATCTCTGAAGCCCCTTTCTTACCTTTCAACCCCATACTTATATGTAAGCTTCCTGTTACCTACAAATAAGTCCCTTGAGAGGGAAACACTGAATTATTTGGTTTCCAGGTCACTTGAAAACTGTATTCCCCACGATTACAAGTTATCCTAGCCCCTTGAAGATAAATTACTGTTGAACCTATATTATAAAACCAACATTTGCAACATCATATTTATTATTTGTAATGTTCTGGTTGTAACTTAGTATGCCAAAAACAAATCTTTTGTCCCTGAAATGACATTATTTTGTGTTTACTCTTGGGCAAGCACTGTTCTAGGTACTGAGAATGAGCTGGAAAACTTTGTGAGGACAACTGATAAAGTGTCAAACTGCAAGGATGACAAATGACAAAATGAAAGCTGTGAAAGTCTTTTGCGGGGAGGGGAAGATTGACCTACTCAGCGAGGTCATCGCTGAGAGGCTTGAGCTGAGATTTTGGCAATCACAAAACCCAGAGAGAAAGAAAACGCCCAGCCAGAGAAGGCTTTCCCTGAGGCACAGGGAACTTGGCAAGACCACGGAGGCCAGAGGGGCCTCAAGCAGAAGGAAGAGGGCTGCAGGGGAGGTCAGATGATGTGGAACCTTATGAGATGTGTCAAAGACTTTGTCCTGCTGTCATTGAGAAAATACTGACATTCATAGGCAGGGAGGCGACATGTCCAAATCTGGGTTTAGAAAACAATCATTATCACCTCCATTTTACACCTGAAGAAACTGAAACTACAGAAATTCAGGAACCTGACCTACATCCACAGAAGAGTTTGTGACCCAGCTGGTATTCGAACTAGGTCTGTCCGACTCCAAAGCTTGTACTAGTGCCACTTTCTACACAACATCCCAGAAGCTGTGAAGCAGAAACAAAGGCTGCTCCGTGAGAACTAAGACTTGCAGCCAGGTCTCCCATCTCCTTCCTGCCGCCACCCTGGAACAGGCGTGAAGGGTGGTGCAGAGCTCCTGTTCAGCCCACCATGAAAACCAACAGTGGAGGGGTGAAGAAAAAGGGAAAATGAAGGGCCTAATGAAAGCAATTTGTAGAAGTTTTAACAACTTCTATACTGATAGGCTCTGTAGTGGAAGCCTCTTTAAGCAACAAATGAAAATGAGGAAACTGGGGTCTCTTCCAATAATCAATCACATGTCCTTGGGGAAGGCACTTCTATTTCATATCCAGTTTCTTTAGGACCTGGCTTCTGGCTGTTTGGCTAAGCAGTACGACCTTTGAGTTCCTGCTCTCTCCTATGTGCATGTGTACACACAGCTCTTTATTGTAAAGAAAATCTTTCCAAATAACTCACAACTATTTTAAAATAATATAATATTTTGGTTACATTAAACTAAATACTTTTAAGAACTATTTAACTGTTAACTCTCCAGTATGCAATAGTAAAATTAGAATGTGATTCTAAAATTGGGTCTTGTTAGGAATACAATATCTCTTTTTATTTGTCTTCTCTCCCTGGCTAAACCTTATCACATAGACTAAGTATTTCCTAGAATGCCCCAACAGATTTTTTTTCTTTTGATATTTTTATTTCAATTTTGTTTGATTTGATTTTTAAAAATTCATTAGCATGCCCTAGAAATATTTTAGTTAAATAAGGGGAGAAGCAAACTGAAAGTGTGCCTAGTAAAAGACATTATAATCCACAATCAAACAGAAATTCAAATCTGCCTCTTAAATTGGGCCAAGATGTAAAAGTAGTCTTCCAAGTGAGGCATTCTGTTGTAAGGCATCTCATTTCCTACTTCACTGCTGTAGCAGTTTTAAGTAGCTACTGTAGTTTTCTTTCTCAGACACGTAAAAAGATTTCTTCGTGTGGGCTAATTGGTTGATCTAATTTCCTATTATTCATATCAGGTTTTCAGATTTTTAGTGGATTTCTACCAAGTCTGTCATGTAATATTAAGAAGTACGACAATGAGTAATTTTTAAGGAAACCATGTTGTAATCATCATTACTATAAACAGGACTAAGCAGCAAGGAATCCCAGTTTACCTTCCCAGCAAAGATTTCAGAATCCTCTTTTACTATCTTGTCACTGTTCTCAGCTTCTGAAAGTTTCCTGTTAGGATGAACAAAAGCTTGGAAAGGAACTTGATATGCCATCTGGCAATACTTTATCAAGTGGCTTTTGCAAAATTATCTAAATATAATTGTTTAAATAATATTTTTCAAAATTATTTTTTAAACATATACCATTTAAATAGGAATAGTCCCTGTATGGCCCAGTTAAAATGCCAAGAAAGACTCTTAAAAGCTGAGATCAAATGGGCTTACAAGTAAGTATTTAGTGTACTTTAAAAATAATTTAAAACTTTATAGTAAAAATTGTTGTTGTTTTATAAAAAAAAAAGTACCTCTTTGTTGGTGATCGGAATGGATAGGAAATAGTTGGGTTGATAGTCTTTGTGCTTTTTTTTCCTCTTCTTTATTTGATCTTTACTGATCCATTCATCTTCTTTGCCTTTCTCCAAATCTATTTGAGGTACATCAGTGACTAGAAGAAAAAAATCAAAGAATAATATATCTGACGCATTAAAACAAAGATAATATAGTCCAAAAAAAGGAAACAAGCACTATGAAGTAGCAATCATTCATAATTGTCATTTTCAAATCCAAAGCAGGAGTTGGCAAACTCTTCCACAAAGGACCTCATAGTAAATGTTTTAGGCTTTGCATATTCCATGGTCTCAGTTATAACTACCCAAGTCTGTTGTAGACGAATCACAGATGAATATGTACAGCTGTGTTCCAGTAACACTTTTACAAAGCTGGTAGCCAGTGCTACCCCATTCTCACTCCCATGCCACAATTTTCACGATACTAGGAAACAGTATTTTCTTGTCCATCCTGTTTATGTATATTTGTGACTCCTACAATATAACCACATGCAACAATGCCACGCAAAATCTGGTTTGTAGCCAATGTCACACCACAGACTGTTTCTTGTGAAAATCAAAAGACTGTTTTAGAAACTTTTATAGCAATTAGGTAAAGTAATTTTGTCTATTGAATTTTGGTTTCTACTGTGTCGGTCATTTTTAAAGCATTTTTCTAATTCTTTTTTATTGTTTTTTACAAAAGTATCAGTTGACAACAAATGAGTAATTAAAAAACAACAACAAAACTGGCCCTTGACCGTAGATAACTTGAGAAGCACTTAGCACACTTCCTTGTAAAGTCATCTTCTGAAGACTCATTTATAACACCCAACAATTCTAATGATGAAGCTATGCCCCAAGTCAGTGTGAAATTGTCTCCTTCAGAACCTATCAGGGAGCATCCATATGCATACAAAAGCACCATTAATTGAGTCTTCAGGCTGTGTCTTCTTGAACAGTAGCTGTTTCAAAATAGAATACCTCATAGAGACTTTGTAAAAATACAAATACGTTTTCTCAAGTATGATTTTGAAAAGGGGTGGGTGGGAGGAACCAACTTACCTTACATTTAGTCTCGTAGGTTGGTTTCATCTTTGGATGAGTTCTAATCGACCACAGTGACCACCTGCACCCAATTCCTTGAGAAGGGACTAAAGCAACAGAATAATGCCTGTGTGCCTTCGCAACCCTGACCTTACTAAGTATCTTATTTTATATCTGATGAAACAGGAGAGCAGAAAAACTTTTAAAAACTGCTCAATAAGCACAGAGTCAAGTCTGGTATCTAAACCACAACTCTCCTAGTATACTTTCTGCTGGGCCAAACAACTCTATTTCAGTTCTGCCTAAGTACTTATTATTACACACAACACCAGAGATAAGTAATTGTCCTTGTTCTGCTCTTCTTTGAAAGAATAGTAGTAAACAATTTTAAATGAATGTCACAAATAGTATTTTAATGCTAACTTCTAAGAAAAATACAGTATGCTTAAATTTTTTAAACTAAGGGTTTGTTTAAATAAGAGCAAGGTGGCATGGGTAACAAGTCTGACTGTATCATTGTAAACTGAGACAAAATTTCCTGGCATGTTTGTATAGCCATTTCACTACTACATTTCTGAACAATCAATGTGGTTAAAATGATGTATTTCTCAACAATAGGCCTCGTGATTAAAATGTGGTTAAAAAATTAATGTGCGTAAACAGAGAACACGTATTTGAAATATAAATTATTATTAGCGCCTTTTACACATGTGAGCCTGTCAAAACTTTAAAAATTCTGTTGCTAAGAAATACTTTGCAACATTTCATCTATATTATGAGCATGATTTAAACTGCCTCATATGATGCCACTGGGTTTTACTTCCCATGCAATTTTTAACATGGAAAATTAAATCAATATGTTGATGAGCTACATATAATTCTAGATATCTAAGAAAAGGTCCCGTATCTGACTGGAGTAACATAAACTAAATATACTAATTTTAAACACAGGCCACATAATATGCTAATGAGGAACCACATATATTATTAATCTGCTCCTCAATACATTTCTAACCCAACTCCATCTCTCCTAGGAAGTTGGTAGTCTGAAAATGAAAACCAATCTTAATATTGTCTGGAAGCAGAGTGTCTGGGAGAGAATCCTGGCTCCCCCATTTATTAGTGTGATCTTAGATAAATCACATGAACTCTCTTTACTTCAGTTTCCTACCCTGTAATTTGAAGATAGTAATAATGGGGTCATTGTGAGGATTAAGTGAATTAATACGTGAAAGCTCTTAGACTACTCCCTGGTACAAAATAAGATTATTATTAGTTATTATAACTATTATATATTCCCAGAACTAAACACAATGAGGGAGATAAATCTGTATCTCCTAAGATCATTTAAGAGACTACAAAAAGAAATTGAGATGATTTATAAACTATCCATTGTTTTTCATCATCCAGACCACTTGGAAAATGAAAAGCAGTGTTGAACAGTTTTTTAAAAACTAAATATTGAAAAAATTTCAAACACAAAACACATTTTTTTTAAGTACAATTACAAACCAATTCTAAATAGGTTACCTGCACCTTTCCCCTTATACCTCATTGTCCAAATAAGGACACAGGAGGCTTGGACAGTGAGTATACGGCAGCTACCGACCTATGCCTCGGGAAAATGCAACCTACAGAATGGAAAGGGAAAGGCTGCTGGCAAGGCAACAAGTATGTCTGTTTCAAACCTGCAGAGGCAGCACCGGGTAGTAAAAAGGTCCTGACCCCAAAAACTAGGCTTCCAACAGCATCTTCCCATCAAGGCACTGCATTTCTTTATCTTTAAAAGTCTGGCCAATCCTTAGAGATGTAGCTGATTCGAGGACTGGGGCACAAAATGTACCAAAGGAGCCTGGAAATTCAGACTCTGGAGACCATGAGCCAATTTGAAAGTCTCCCCATTGGCCACAGATGGGACAATTTGAGCAGCAGATAGAATAATAACTTCAGTGATGTAAAGTACATCAAATAAGTTTAAATCCATCAGTTCAGAATTATAAGCAAAAACTTAAAACCAAAAACTTAGCAGGTCATCTTTGGAGGAGTCTAAAGAACTGTTATTCTAAAAATCTGATGACAGGAGAAAATAATCACACATTTATCCTCTCTTTCCTTATGATCAAATAGTCCTAGAGGAAATCAGAGTTAACTGAGGAAGTTCAATAACTTCCTTATTGAAATTTTCTGCTAATGAATGCAAAAGATAGAATTAAAATATAAATCACCATTTTGAAATAATAGAGCAATGGATCAACCCAAAGTTCATCAACGAATAATCCATTAGATAGAAAGCTGATGGGAACTTTCATAATGAACACATCAGATGACACAATGGAAAGCCACTGTCAATCCTAACATCACAAAAAGGCAAGACCACCAAACATTTGTGTCTCCTGATGTCACACAGTAGGGAATTCAAAACATTTTTGCAGCATTGTTGTCAATATTACAAAACTTAATCAAGCCTCCTAATAGAACTACAAGTTTCCTTGGAATATAAAGGACAGAAGAATAAGTTGATGACCATAATAGGGTACTTCTATACAACCTGATTTCTTCAAAAATAAACACACGCGCTCACATACACACACCAAAAAAAAAAACAACCAAAAAACAGATCAATGAATGAAAAGGGATGAAAGAGATTCATCAATCAAAAATACAACATATAAACTTTGGTTCCTAATTCATACCAGTTTTTAAAAAATTACGATAGAGCAGTTGTGCACCAGGTTCCCAAGATGTCGTTCCTGAGCACAAGCTGTTGGACCTGGCTACCTTGCCCTCTACCCTCAACCCAAGTGAACAGGCATTATCTCCATAAACCTAGAAGGCGCAAGCCGTGCAGTTGGCCATAAGATCTTGGCTTAAAAGGGAGTACCTGCCTCAGTACAACGACCCGGGCCGCCAAGGGCCCCTGGAAGATCCTGCTTTGACTCGTTGGACCTACACAAGACCAGCAAATGTCTGTTCCAATTTCAGACTCACTCCCAAGACCAGTATTATGTTTTTAAAATTGATAAGATAAACAAAACCTTATCCCAGAAGGAAAACTGAATTGAACGTTTAACATCTCATGTAAAGTCTAGCAATGACGACTATATATATTATTGTTTAAATAAATTTTCTATTAATCATTTAAAAAATTATGACAGAGAAATCGGAAGACTGACAGGATATTTGATGACATTAGGAATTACTGTTATTTTTAGTGTGGTAAAAATGTTTTAGATATAATTTTTTTGAGATTCTGTATCTTTTAAAGATGAACACTATAGTTTTTACAGATAAAAATTATGTATCTGCAATTTACTTCAAAATAACCCAGTGAGAAAGAAGTAATGACTATATGAGGCTCATTATAATATTCTAGTTTTGAATATGCTTGAAAGTTTCTATAGCAAAATTTAAACTCACACACACAACCCAGGGGCAGGTAAGGGACAGATAATCTCTATCTAGGGTTAATTCTAGCTTCTGCGATCCACATGTGATAAAGGTACTAACTGTTAATGACTGTACCATTTTGGACATTTGGTGGTGAAATTAAATAAAGAACGGTATCCAAACTAATATTAACATAGCAGAAAGAGAATCCTAAACCTATAGTCTCTTCTTTCTTTTTTAAAACTGCAAGTATCAACCTACTTATGAATTATGAAATTATCTTAGAAAATAATAAAAAAGCACTTTTTAAAACCTGGAATGGAATGAAAAGAAATTGAATGGAATAGAATTAGCACAGACAGTACATTGTTTGCAGTAAGTTTAAGTATTGCTTCATGAAATTTGAGTTTTTTGCATACACATGTGCATTGGGTAGAAATTAAAATGTATTTATTCGTTACTATGACTATAAGATACAGAATCACTTTTGCTATATTTAACTCAATATGAACAATACTAAGAAGGGAAACAGACTTAATAATACAGTATTTAAAAGACCACTGAAGATTTCAGCATTTTAAGTTGTTTTATACCTTATTTATTTAAAATTAAACCATCCTCCAGTGTGTAGCAACTCTCTTTGCCATTTCAAATATTCATAAGTCCATTTTGCAACATCCAGAGA